GGGGGGGTGCCAGCGCCCTTTTGTACTCTGCGTCTCTTCAGTTCTTACCTAATCTAATCATCTCACCCACCCCGGAGCTCCTCCCCTTCCAAAAGTTAGGGAAGGAGCTCCGGGTGGGTGAACCAATTGGATGTTCAATTTTTACCCCATCCCAGCTTTTTGCACGAAATAATCATCTCTCCCACCCCGAGCTCTTCCCCTAAGTTTTAGAAGGGGATAAATCCATTTCTGCGATCTCTATGCACTTTCCCGCCGGTGTCAGGGACGCAGAGCACAAAAAGGGCGCTGGCACCTCCCAACTACATTTTCACCAACCTCCTAAGAAACGAATGGACAAAGTAAAAATGGTAGAAAGATTTATGGTGATAAACGTGATCAAGGTACATCGATTCTTTCGGATCCTTTCTCGATAACCCTACAAAACTGAAACGAGTTAAGTGATGAAAAAAAACTGGTTACAGTTCTCTGAGTTGACCAGAATCAAAACAGAAACGATAGAAAATCCACCGTCGTGGGTGAAAGGATGTTGGAGCAGAGAAATCTGTGAGCATGGGGAACGAGTTGCGAAAAGAGGCCACGGGAGAGATTAGAGGAGATACTAGTTTGAAGAAAAATAACATTTTTTCTCAACGTATGTGGTATCGCGTGAGATGGCAGTCACTGTCATTCAGAAGGAAAATTGGAGAAGAAAGAATATCGTTCCAAAAGTCGTTTAGCTAACGAGTGATATCAAGCAAAAGATGCCCAAAAACATTTTTTGCATTGTTTCGAGCATTGTTTTACTTTAATTTTTTGTTTACGCCTTTATGATGAGATCCGAAACCCGAAGTTGATGAGCGAGCTCCGCGCTGGCTCCCTTGACAAGAAAGGAAATGACCCGACTGGTTTTCGAATACCAAGTACTTCGATGATGCAAGTACCATAGCTTTGTAGTATGGAATATCATAAATGATGCAAAAGCATTATAAAATGCAACACAATAATACAATTACATTTTCTACAAGTTTCCAGCAGTTAGAAAGGCGAATTCATTGATATGTTGATAAAGAACGTGAGATTTCTACTAGATTCCGAAATTCTCAATTCTACAGGTCCAAATAATAATCGGAATGGTCAGCAACAGCAACAACCTAATGGCCCTGGCAAAGGAGGAAACAACTGGAATAGTCAACAAAATGGAGGTATCCACTTCGGTTATGAACATAGGTAGGACAAGTTCAGAGATGACTTCCAGGACCACAAAACGGCCCTGGCAGAGGAGGAAACAATAATTGGAATGGCCAACAACAACAGCAACCCAACCAACCCAACCAACCCAACCAAGGTGGGAACGACTGGAATAATCAAGAAGGCCGAGACTGGGAATCGTGTTGATCAATCGATCGAAATATGACCTTGCTCCACGTGGGTGATCAGAATTGTCCAGAATGTTTTCCTTTTAGGTCAGCAATTTCAATTCCAACCCAATCAACAAATGCCCAACTTGTTGGGTTTTATTCAAAAGACAATCGGTAAGAGCTTCTAGCAGCTCAAGAAGTTCCCGTGAAATGCAGAATTATTGCAGGAGCACCGATTCCCGTTTTTTCCGGATAATTCAAGACGACTAATCGGAATCCGTGTGGAAAAGAAAGGAAATTACAATCATTCTGCTAGATTTTCAGAGAGCTTTTTTGCAGTAACAGTTCAGATGTAAATATCAACAACGCGATTGTTTTCATTTGAATAAATTTTGGCGTCTAATTTCCAATTTTGCAGTCACCAAATTCCAGATTGGGAAGGTAACCAATACAGTCCAGTGAACCCAAAAACAGGGCAATTAAAACCTTTTTTACAGTCTGACTCTGTCTTTGAAGAAACCATCTATTCACCCCCTGTGTTGACCTATCCTCGAAGGCACAGAAATCTGATACAAAAAGTCTCTTTTGAAGGTTCAGATCGTAGAAATTGTACTTTTTTGTATGTTGATCTTCGAACAAATGAAATCGTTGGAAAGAATTTGTAAAAAACTAATAGAAAACTTTTCTGGTAGCCTTGTTTTGCGAAAGAGAAAAAGTTCACCGTTTGGTGTTTACCCATCACCTGTGGGCCGGAACTAGCAAAGGAACTTTTTTGTGGATCTAACTTTAATTCTCTGCTGCTCACCTACCCTTTGTGACCACAAGGAGTAAACACAAACAACTTTTGTGCAGGTCAAGCTGTTCGAAAAGGTCCACCTTACGGATAAGATGTTCATCTGAGAACCAAATGGGTCCACAAAGGAGTTTTCAAGAAATATTTCGGTAACCTCTGAATTTCAAGTCCAACACTCTCAAAAAATCAATCCATACGCCGATATTGACCTATCGTCATGAGCGATAAACAGTTACAACAATAACACCACTAAATCTTTCTTTATTCAAATGATATCATTCTCTTGAGCGAAATTCAGCACAATACGAACATAATCAACAACAAAAATAATTCATTATGCACATAAACAATTCTTGTTAAGAAAATTACATTACTTGTATTTCAATACACAGACTCTCTAAGGAATGCCTGACTGTATGGTCTCATACAAAGGAATTGGTGAATAAATAAGTAGGTTGAGATCGGAGAATGGACAGTCTGAAGTTCACAAAGAAGAGGCAACCCGTACCCGTAATTGCTTAAAAAGTGGTAGATCGAAGGAGGAGCACGAGGACGACGGCGGACGCCAAACCCAACACTGAAGTCAAGGGAACCAGTGGGTTTGGCGAGGAGTTACAGAGATTACTGTGACATCCACATATGGCCAGACGGGATGGTTCAAGTTCTTGTCGAAGCGCGGTCGGCATGAACAGCTGTCGAGCGGTGGTGTCTGGAATAGTGGCCGTTTATACTGAGAAGATAGCATTCAACTCTCACAAGGATGACAAGTTATGGATAAAACTTTGGTGTCGGACTGGACTCGAAACCGCACTTGTGCTATCAGAACACCGCGCTCTTATTCCTCACACTACTAGAACCCCACTCATCTTTTCCATTCACCGAGCATTCAATTCCATTCAAACAATCCTAGAAAACCTTTAGGTGGAACAAAGGCGCTAATCAGTCCAGTCTTCGGGATGCGCAGTGCATTCGACTTCCATTCAAAACCGTAGCGGCGTATGTGGCCTATACGACTTGCGGTGACCAGCCGATGTACAATTCGGAGCTTTTGTCATCCCAGACGAAGCTACACTTCAGGAACCTAGGAGGGCTCCGTTGGCCTGGGCAAATATCTATCCAGGATCCGATCCTAGGACCATGCGTTGTGATAGCGCATCACAAGCCGCTACATCACCTTTGCCAAGAAAACTTCTAAATCCATTCGAATAACATTCCAACACTTCTAAGACTTCCAGCTTGAGGGCAGCTGTACGGCTGGGAGAAAGCCATGTAGTCAAGCACTCAATGGCTCCGAGAAGCTACAGGGATCTGCTCAGTTTCGAGAGCAGCAGGAAACAAATCACAACCCACCAAATTATGCATCCAAATGAGCCGCGGGATAACCCAATGATGGCTTTATTCCTAAACCCCCTCATTTAGGGGAATCCTTCTTTCCCTCTTGGGTAAAGTTGTTATGTCAGCAAAAAGGCCGTACATGTACATATATGTAACTTTGAGTATTCGTAAGGATGTTGTTGGGGTGTCATTCGGTTGATCTCATTTTCTCTCGCTCTGAATACTCGAGCACATCAGCACAACGTATATGCACCTCATCAGAAACGAGTATAGCGACAACGTAATATCGTTTTCGGATCAGAGGAGGATTCATTCAGCCGGAACGCCTCCCGCATTGGGGTGGTGAGACCAAAACCCGATTGGTAGCTCTTGGTCGGAGCAAGTTTTACTTTTATGCAGGAAAAAAAACAAGAAAGTGAATCATCTGGGCGCCCGAATAATGAATGAACATGCCCGAGAGATCTCAGACCATACCGTTTGCTTATTACTTTAAAAGAGACCAGGGAACAAATCGGCATAAAGTCTAAAATCAAGAAAATTCACCNCATTTTTAAGCACCCTGAAATGCTGAAATTACCTATTCTATCAGTTCTGTTCGATAGACATTCTTCCCCGTAAGTCACCTCCCCCACCCTCCTTTCCTTTTTACTTCGAAACTTGCGGTAAACCACTCCTTTACCAGTTTTTGTCTACAAAAGCGAGTTTTGCATCGAAATACTTCTCTTGGTGTTAAATATTTTCTTACAAGTGTAACATTGGCTCCTAGCAAACGTCATTCCAATCGCCTGAAACTACTCGTCCCTTTTCCCTCCTATTCTTGAGAGTCTTACTTCCCCTCCCCAAAATGCTCACCACCATTAAAACAGCCATTCGCCTTTGTTTCACCGGAAATTGTAAAAAAACGTACGACGGTTATAACCTCTACGTACTTCCCATAAACTTTCATAGCCTTGTCTTTCCCTCGAATACCTACCTGGAGTGACTACCATTTTCGGGAACCCCTCTAGAATTACGGCAATATGCTCGAAGAACTAGCCTTTGCTATGGAAACCTAATGCGGTTTCAGCCTGGCGATAGGAAATTGGTTTTGAACAACTCACCAAGACAGCCACTTTGATCGGCAAGTGCTCGAATTAAACTGTGGTTGTATCCGTGAATGTCGGACAGACAACCACGCACGTAGCCATGCCTCCGTCGCCCTGGAACGAAAACTTTTACACTTCATGAAGGGAGGAAAAATTCAGTTTCTGAGGCTGTAGTGGGTTCAGGGGGAGAGCACTTTTAGCTGATTAGGTAGGCCTTTTTAGTTACTCTTCCTTCTTCCTCTTCTCACCATTAATTCGTTGTTAGTGACGCCGATACTATTACAACTGTAGATTACAGCTTCTTCGGCTCTCCCGACTAAGGGTGCCTAACACACCCTCTCCCATGACTAAAACTCTCCCTACTGCTACAGAACTGCCACTTGAAACTGTCAGAGAATTCCGATGATTTCAAGTGGTAGTTCCGTAGCATTTGGGAAAGTTTTGGGTGTGTTGGGTACCCTCTCATTATCGTTTCGCTGTCCGACATTACTCAACAGCAACCCATACCACGAAAGTAGCCCAGACCGAAAGAGCGATGTCGTTCGGCAAATTGAAGCATTCGTTTTTCATTTCCCATGAACCAGAAAGACCAACATTGGAAATTCATTGAGAACAAAATAACATGAATTGTTCTCGGATGGTCAGCATTCATGAAGATCTGAGGGGAAGCCTATCAGATGGGAATCTTTCGTGGTCTCGGTTGATTAGTCAAAGAACGGAAAAGAGAAAAAGTTGAAGAGCCGAGGGAAAGGAAAGCAATATGCCGATATGGGGCATGATTTCGCGTGACAGAACCGTATCCATCAAGAGGAGCTGGGCCAACCTAAAAAAGAAAGAATCCTAACATCTTCTTTGGCCGACTATAACAGATGCCATTGAGGAGACCCCATCTCGTACTCACGATGGAGTCAATCGAGTGCCTGGAAGTCCCCCAGCGGAAGCGGCCGACTCAAATCCCACAGCCGTTTTTTTTTTGCACTTCGCCTAGCCAATTTACTAGCCAGTTTTCCAAAATGCATCTTTTTGAAAGAATGAGGGCTCAGTGTCATCTCGGTTTCAGCCGAGTGGCGATACTTAGGGTCCGGAAACAGCGACCACAGTACCAGTGTATTAGTAAATACACTCGAACTAAGCCTCTAAGCAGCTTAAATAAACAGAGTAAGAGATAGAGGGGAGCAACATGGTTGTAGGCATTCTTGTGATTCCCCATATTGAGATGTTGGAATGTTTACTCAGTAGGTACCCATAGAGGAGTGAAGTGCCAGAAGAAGGATGGTGTACTTTCGTCAGAATGCACGAGCCGGACCTCATATCAGCTAAGTAGTTATTCCTATGAGTTCCTATTTACCGTTCCCTTATATGTGCTGAACAGCTTTCTGTGTGGTCACTGTGATTATCCAGAGAAGAGAAATGTCAACTGCTCCCATTGTGCTCATTCCACTGTGAAGATACTGCGTTTTTTCCCCTTCCACCCCTTTGGATTAATCCAAGATAGGCTGATGATGAGAGAACGAACATGCCGACGCATCTACATATAATATTATGGATGGCGTCAACAGAGCGCTAATCTTTTCACAGAGAAGAGAGAAAGATTACTTGCGATATTGAATTTTTGCAAGTGAGCATATATGGCCGATATAGAGGTGCTTTCATAGGAAAGTTGCTTGATATGGAATAATTTGACTGGTAGAAACGAACAAGTACTCAGTTTCAACTTAAGGCACATCTCAGTATGAAAACAGCTTCTGAGATCCCTACCTTGATGATTCTTTGTCTTAAATGGTCTTAAATAGGGCACAATAAGGGCTAAAAAAGATTGAAAACTTGGCTTTGAATACCACGGTCGAGGCTTTGACGGCTTTTTATAGGCTGAACTGTTAACAATGGGCAGAACAGTTGAAAATTCGGACAGCCGATCGTCCAGCGTGTGCAAAGTCGGAAAAAAATTTTTTGGCAGCAGGTATACTGTAGCCAATACTTTACGTAATTGCACATGACTGTCTTGTACATCCCCCATCCATTTGAACGATTTGGAGCTTCCTTCTTTTCAAAAACTTTGTTAACTCTTTTGCTTTTTCGGTTATCGACTCAGAACTTCACGTTCTTTGTGACCCTGCGCCTTTGGAACTGCACCACCTTTTCGTTGCAATATTTGCCCTGGCAAGGTATAATAGTTGGCGACCGCGAGGGTATCTCGAACGAATTTCCCAATTTCCCTTCTATTTCAGTCCCAAAATGTTAGAGTAAGTGAACATTCAGCAAGTCACTTCAATGCTGAAATGAATGTCAAGCAAATCGAATCCCTCTCCCTTTTGAAGGACAACCAGAAAGAAATGAATCGAGCAGTCTTCAATTGAACTAAATTGCATCATTTCGGACCTATTCATAGAGGTCACACAAAATGAGACATACATAGCACTTTCAGAAGCGAACGGCAGCAAACGGAAGACATTTCGAAATCTCGCTACGGGGTGGGAAGGATGAAGGAAGAAGCGAGATATTGAGGTTACTTCCGTTCCTTGGAAGCCCATCATGACGAAAAGTTCACTTTTGTGGTTTTCATCAGAAGAGAGGGAAATCATGAATGAAGAAAAGAATAAAGCCATGCACTGACCAGTAATAATATACTTCAAAAAGGGTCACCATGGCGCTTTTCGGAGTTCTGAGATTCATGATGTGGGACATAGGGTTCACTTATAGGGCGTACACGCTCGTCTAAGGATGTCACGAAAATGGTCACATCTGTATATGAGGAAAGGGACCATCCAATCGAAATCGAGAGCGAAAATAGAACGATCAGTTCTTAGTCAGTGGAGTTACACAACACGCTGCACGCGACCGAAGCATAAACGCAGCCTACGGTGGGTGACAAACGCGACTGGTCAATATCCTGCGCCTTAGTCTTGATTCAAGCTCAAGTCGAAGAGCGTGATACGGCCAGTCTACAGACCTCAGTAACAAGGCACATATTTGTTTCTCTACTCTTCTGGTTTCTCTACCCTCATATTTTCCCTTCTTCCATATCTTTCCTTTTCACTATTTTCCATTTTTCCTGTTTTTTTTTGTACCAACATTCTTAGATATAATGGGTATATATTTATGTATGGTGTTTTCATTGTTGAGCGCTTTAAGTCAGAGTCCGTCCTGTTAATGACCCATGGAACCGTTTCCTTTCAGAACTAATAGCCTTTGCATAGCCCAGGGTTGAACCCCAGGGCAAAATTTTCTAGAATCTATGAAAATCAACACCTACTGGCGGAAGCGTAATGCAATACGCTTTTAGAATCTTCAAATTTAAAAAAGATCGATGGTTTTTCCTCTTTTGGCATCATCTTTCTACAGAAGAGGAAGCTTCAACGGCATATGCCAGTCCCTATTTTGCCTCTGTTCATAAAACTGCTGCGTTTTGGAAGTGGGAAACGTTTTTATATGTAATGGAGGATCAGAAGAGAGATATCGAGAGTCTCAGAAAAGAGTGATTTACAGCTTCGGTTTCAATGACCAAAGGTTTTCGGGAGGTCAAGAGGTAAAGACGAATTGTGACATTCCGAGCTTCACGAAACCCGTCGGAAGTCCACCATTCTGGTTACAAGCTTCAGCAACTAAATACAAATTTCCTTGTTGTTCTCCTATTTTTCCAAATCTCCGTGGCGCTACTGGTTTATCTGGCTGAGGGATAATAATTACACTTTGAATGATCAACAGAGAGATTATTCCGATTGTGGGATAGCTCCTTTCTACTGCCATTGTCAGTAGAAAAGGTGGTTCCATTGCAAGGTGGATTCGATTCCCGAATTATGGCCCTAAATTCCTTCACCTCCTGCAAGCTCCCTGACACCGGCAGAGTAAAGGTGACATACTAGTGGGAAGTTCTTCCCAGACCTACCAATTTTGACCCTTCAAACAACACCATAGCTATTTTTCAGAACCTATCATCATGTAGGTTTAGTAATGAAATTACGTTTCTAATAGGATGAAATGCACAAACTGAAAGTCGTCTTGGGAGGATCCAGCGAGATTTCTTAGGCGAAATTCCCCCCTAAAGATCCGCGGTGACGAGCTGCCATTCAAAACTTGGGATTCGGGGCTGTTGTTATGCGAACGCGTTCCAATGGAGAACTTGGCCGTCGAGAAAAGTGCCAGTTATCGGTCGGGCCACATGGCTACATCAAGCGCAGCGGGAGGCAAATCTTAAAGAATTGAGGTAGTCAAAAACCATTAGGCGACCATTGTTCACTGCAATACGAAACCACGGAGTATTATGTCACCTTTATTTCTTTTTCGTTTTTTACTACAATATTATCTGGGTCATTTTTTATCAGAACCAGATTGTTTTATTCTTTTCTCCCTAGAATGGGTAAGAAAAGCCACTCGGACTAAAGAAACCGCGGTAACCCTGATCGACTTTTGCAAAGCAACCCCTCCGTTAGATTAACGGAAGCCGTTCATCCTTTTGCTGAAAGTGCAGAACATCGAAATAAATCCTCAGCCTTGCCCAAAGGCCATAATTACGGGGCAAATCAGCAGGATACTAATCATTCGAGAGGCCAAAGAAAGAAGGGCTACGAAGGGGAATGAGCCGAAAAAGAATGAATTTAGAAGGGGACCAAAGAGAAATAAATCTTCACCTCCAACGACATCGTTAATCCGCAGTGTAACACACATATCAGAGCAGTTTTTCACGAAAAGGTAGCTTCGGTCGAGACTGAAAAAACATTTTTCATGAAAAGAGGGAATTTTAATAATCATGAGTGGTTTTGAATAGTACGGAATTAAGTAGCTCGGATTTTAAACCCAAAAAGCAGGTGAACTACTTGAACAGCAAAATGAAAAAGATCCTGGAAAATAGCAATTCCAGAAGCATATTTTCCCACGCAATGCATCAAAAGTTCTTGTTTTGTTGAGCGCCAGGAAGTTTTTTAACGGATAGTCAGAGTTCATGGCCCATCCATGGCGAAGTAGCGAGGGGCGCTGTTATGCCGGATTTCGTTCACCAATACCCTTTCTACTGTCTAGTCTGATATTTCGTTACCGTTATTACTTCTTTTCTGTTTCTTACTACTTGTTTACTTTACTGTTTACTTGTTTATTTATTACTTAAGAAGTAGCTCGACAAGTCAGCGACTTCTGGGATGGCTGCACGGGCAGTGAGGCTGACTCGTTCTTCTCTGCAGCTTCCACTTCTTCCACCAGAACATCTTGCAAGCATTTCTAACTAAATACCTCACGCTTATTTTCATAGCCACCCATCGTTCATCCGATCCCCGCGGGACCTATCCGAGCAGCAAACCATTAGCGAGACACGCATTTTCTTCTCACATCACACAGCTGCCCGCTGTCTGCGCACCCATCCGCCACACAACGCCGCCAATACCAATTTTCGTATGGAGGCGTCATCATTTTAAGCTGTTCAGGAGAACGTTTGAAGAATGAGAAAAAACCCATCCTTGACGGACGAGTTTTCCGGTACTGGACGAGCTGTCATGAGCAGATCATCCAGTATCACAAAGCTTTCTCGAACGTTAGCATTGAAAGCACCTTCCCCACCCAGCGGCTTATAGTGGCCACGCTGAGTAGGAATTGATGTTTCCGTCCTCTTGGAACCCGAAATAATGGAAAATCTGGCTCCTCTGGTCAATTTTCCCCCAAGTCGTCAGGAATGGCCATTTGGGTTATTTTTAACCCAACCGCGTTCCTTCTAGAATGAGTCAAGAGGAATTGGGTTTCAGAAGCATTCCTGATTGACGATGACTTCGCTCTAAAACTAGCCAATAAATGCCAAATTAGTTTTAAAAACAGATCAAATAAACCAAAAATTCTTACTTATTTCTATCACAGTGTGGATCGAAAGACAATGGTTTACGGTAGAGATGTGATATATACGGATAGTGGTCCTCCAAGTACGGGCTCATGCAACTGTAGCATGGTAGTCGGAGCGCTGAAATTGAAATTTTTACTTCAAAGATTCAAACCCAGTCATTTTGTGTCAATAATTTATTTGCTTGCCCACTACGATTGGTGAAACTCATCAATTCGTCTGAAGGATCAGTTGCCCGGGTAAAAAACGCAAAGCATACAACACTGAAGGGTCGGAACCAGTTACTCCATCGAGTTTCCACCACCCATACAGGCGTTATCCCGTCTGAGGCGCTTTCAGGATTCAACTGGAACGCAATCATTGGCGGAAAGGCTTTATGGCCAATCAAGTGGCTGTTTCCTTTTATAAATGATCACGTCAACGACGAGGAACATGGGGGACCGCCCACTCATCAAGACGTAGCTCGGACTCGAACCACAGATGAGGGCGAGATCCCGTCAGCGAAGGTCAACAACCACAAATCTTGAGACCGATTTGGTCCTTTTGGGACAAATTGTGTCGAGGTGCACTCCAAAGGGGGACAAATCATATTTTACTGTAGCGGAAGCGATTTTTCATTGCCCCCAGGGGATATCAAACACTTTTTAACTCTTCAGTGTTGCATTTGATAAAGCATTAAGGAATTTGTTTTGGGACATTTTCTGGAAAGGGCAGATGTCCTTTAATAAATCAAGGAAGGCATGGCGATTCTCCTCCGCTCATCTTTCACTTACACAATTTAAAAAGAAATTTGAAGCTTTAGTAACAATATTTTTAATGTTTTTCTCCCTTCGATTTAAAAGTTACGAATTATCTACTCAAAAAAATTGTAAAATTTCAAAATTTAGTGACAGCTAGGTGCTCATGGTGTGGTCAAATTTCAAGAAGGGACCTATCTGAAAGCCATGTATGGATATCACATATTTTCTACTTCGCTGTTCACCTATCTGGAGGCAAACGAACCGATTTTTAGCCCTGAGCTGTATAAAAGAACTAGAAGGGTGGTTCCGGGGAAACCAACCAGGTCTGTCGCATTCTGGGAAACGAAAACCTTTCTTGGGCTACCTCAAATCAACTTCTGCTGCCCTTTTCCTGCTCCTACCACTCTAACGTTCCCTCCCTTCTTGAGTATCACCACAGCCGCAATTTTCGCAGCCGAGTGGGACACGAACGGCGCCGTAGTTATTTAGATGACGACCACAGAATTCCTATTGAAGTATAGCTCGGAATTGTTCCGGTTGACGACGAGGCCAAATTTGTTGTGACCATAAAAACTGCAACTGGGTGACACCTTTCGCCAGGGAAAACACTAGGTTGGACCAACGAGATGCCCGATTCCCATGGAAGCTGAACAGCAGGCGACTCATACATTTCTAAATACCACTTAGAGGTCAAGAATTGCCGCCCACATCTAGTCCCTTGGTTCACGCCATGCACTTGGCTTTTCCTATTCGTCGCATAGCCTGCTGAATGGTCTGTATAGTTGACGTCAGACTCACAAAACCAACTGATTCCAGGATTTTCTACTCGAGCCCCACCCTCGCCCACCGCTAATGCCCTTGCAAGAAAGTCACTTTCCCCATTTATAGGTGCGTGAATTTTGTTTGCGAGTTGTTTAGCTTTCTCGGATGCAAAAGCCAGGGATTTTCTGACAGATCCAGTATAAGAAGCTGGTGGAAATCTATGGATCCTCCTTGAATTGTTCTGAACAGGGCGAGCAATTTGGAAGAGAACGCCTTTGAGCTACGTGAAAGGAGGGACATTACTATCGACTGGAAAAGTAATGCAAGATTCCAGCCAACTAGCGACTTGCTCTTTTCACTACTTTCAATCAGGCACCTCTGGATCAGATAATTCAGAAAAGACTGGAAATTTCTCCAGATTTCTCCCAGAGTTCTGTGCCATTTTACACTTTTGAAACATCAAGTTGAAGAGAATCTAATGATTTTTGTTACTACTGAATATAAGTAAATTTTGGGCCTAGATGTGAGAAGCCATCCGATTTGATTCGTCTGCGGGAGAGATGACGTTCCTCGAAAGATGACAACAGCGTTCCCTCCGATAATGCACTTTTGGGGATATGGACATATTCCGATCTCAGGAGATTTCACGGACAGAGACGTTTTCAAGAAGTTTGGCATCAAGTTGAAGTCGACGAAAAAGTAATCCGGAAGTTTAGCGGATTTGACAGGAAATATACTGAAAAATAGTATAGAAGAGGTAAATTTGGTAGTGGGAGTGACAGTATGAGAACAGCTGGGCTGAACTGGAGGATTTCATGGTGGAGATCTTTCTTGGGTTGGTAGGTTCGAGAATAATCCAAATAAAAACAGTTCATGGGCAAGTTGAGCCGTCCTCTAAGCGCCTTTTGAAGATAAGCCGTTCTCATTCTAATCAAAATGCCCACACCCTCATAACCGCAACCCGACAGATTCGTCTGGGATAACAAACGTGAGTTCCGAGTAGTCACCTTTAGCCTATTCACTAGACCCACTGATCTTGAAATTTCAGCGACTCAAAATATTGCTAAGCCGAGTTTCTCAGGCACGATTTAGTGGATAGTACATAGGGCCCCTGTGTTTAGGAGTAGATCTTCAACTGCTCCTCTTTTTTTCATCCTATCCTTTCCCTTTCCTTCAGAGAATGCGCTTATTCTGGGAGCGATAGTACGCAGAAGACCGTGGGATCAGTGTATTTCAGGCTTACAAGAACGATTCATTAGGTATCAGGAACGTTCCTCGAACACACTAATTCACGATTGTTCCTAGGTAGACCTTCACTGTAAATTAACAGTGTAAAGGAGAGGGTTCAGCTTCTTCGTAAGCGCCTTTCGTATCAACTAGAAAAGTTTTGAAGGTGCAATTAGGTATCGTAAGCAGAAAGGGAGCACCACAAAATCAACGTTCTCATTTGTCCATTACCGTAGCCGTCCTCCTCACGTCCGCACGAATTCTTTCAATCTGTCCGGGAAACGGTGACTGTTTGGAGAACTTTACTTGCCAGGGCAATCAGTTGTCTATAAATAACTGGAAGAGCTCTAACGAACGATGATGATGACCTTTCCGTCGATCATCGTAGAACCGTCCCTTTGTCGCCTCATCTTTTCGATGTCCCACGAGGAATGCGATGAGGGCGGCAAATTACTTTAGTAGAGGCGGTGCTTCGACCACATTTACGCCGATGCGAAAGTCGTTAAGAGCTCATTGAAATCCACAAAATATCAACAAAACACATCTGACCAGGATGGAAAAGGCTATTGGGAAGGGAAATCTAACATTACATCTGAAATCATGGAAGGACCATCAAAAAATGTCTTGAAATGGGGCACGTGGACCAATTCGTGGACGACGGACCACAACCTGGGCTGTCGAAGGAATCTACAAATCATCTGATGAAGTTCATGAGAAGGTTGACGTTAATTGAATTTGCTTGCTAGAGCGCCCCTGCATTTTAATTCCATTAAAAATAGTAACGACTGCTGAATGCCGATCGGCTTATCCAGTTGGTATCAGGGCTTTCTGCCTTCGCCCCCCCCCCCCCCCCCCCCGCCCCATTGTAGGGTAATAGTAAATAGCAGAATTTCAAAGCTCAGCGTGCTTCGCAGATTCCAACCGTTACCAGATCAGAGTCGTCTCGGTAGAGGCTGCTAAGCAGGAGACATTCTTGTCCCAGGATCTAAAGTCACAAATATAAAGCGAGTCTGTGAAATGGACCCCTTGCGGAAGTTCTTAACTTGGCACCTACGGGCATTAGTCTCAGGTGGGATTCAGAAGTTTCAGCAGTATCGAAGGGGTCTACATACGCCTAGAACAGCCACGATCGTTCCCTCCTCACGTAGCAGACTCAATGGACAGCCAGGATCAAGTTGGGTGAGCTACTCACTACGAAAACCACTTGACCCATGCTTGTGGTACTGTAACCGATCAATATTATCAGGCAAAATGTTGAAAGTTGGATAAAAGGCTTATCCAAAACGTACGTAGTCGCTTCACATAAGGATTGGAGTAGAAGCGCAGATCACCTGGCAAAGGACGAACATCGGAGACGTTCGCCAGCATATAGGCGAAAAGCTGCAGTACATCGGCTGCCATTCAACGCCGGAACACGAATTTCAATGGATCTGCTCAGTGGACACCCATCCCACCACCATCACTCTCCGAGTCGTCTTTGGGCTCTCCGAAGATCTGCCCGCTCTCTCCATTGCCTAGTGTCTCGGGACGGATTGCGATTTGTGAGTGACAACTTTGGAGCACCAGATTGGATTTGGTAGGCGAGAAGAATAGGAAACTGCTCGCCTCTTTGAAATGGCGCTGATTTGTTCCAGTGTGCGCGCTTGCCGAAACGCCCTACCCATTCTGTAGTCCTCGTGCCGAGGCTATTTGCGGTCAGTCGGTAACTTCGTCGCCACCTTGGACGCCTATCCCTCTCTAATTGATCCATATCGTTGCGTCCAGTATTAGATGGTCTGTCTGGCAGAGGATGTCAGTCATGGTCCCTTCAGCTACTACATCCAAAGCTACTTTCAGAATTTGAGATGGGATCGGACGAGATCCAGCCCTCTCTGGAAACTGTTTTGTGTCTAGTTGTCTTAGATAGGCTTGACCAGTTCACCACTTTGAATCCACCTCTTCGCTGTCTCACCCTGTTCTTTTTGCCTGAGCAAGGATCAACCATGACCCCTAAGTATGTACTCGGAACCTTAGAAATCCAATTCGTTCAACAGGGATATTTCTGTATTACGTGTTCCGGAAATCTCGCATATTCGCCCGATTTCTTCCAATTTTCGGTACATTACGACCTTTACGACGAATGATGTCATGCTCGTGCAACTGTCCCCTTTTCTGATCGTTTTGCATTCACGTCTTCAATGCCGAAGTTTTCGTTGCCAGATGATTGAATTTGGGCGCAGTGACATTCCGAAACCAATTGCCGATAAGCGTTTTTTTCAAATTACTACTTTGATAACTTGTAGACCCTGGCGCAGTGAATCGATGAAAATTTGCGAGATGCAAGCGAACAAACAAGTCAATCGCAAAGCTCTGAAGCACCTGCCGACCTTATCCAGAAATACGTCATCGAAGTCCTCCCTGGCCTGGGTAGAGCTTTTCTTCTAAGAATGGATGGGTAACGCAGAAGGTATCATTCAAAGGGAAGGGTAAGGGTAAGGTACTCAAATTAAAGGGTAATACCCGAAGTTTCATTTGAAGGCTCAGGAAACTAAGTCAATTACGTGTTCTCATAATGTTGCGGGATTAATAGTCGTATAAAAAAAGCTTAACCATAAACAATTGACTGAGATAATGTAGTTTGCTCCCGTGGAAAAAGATAATTCGATTGCCTTTCCCCCAGAAACTTGTCCGCAGCCAATCGGCCGAATCAGACGGTAGGGAATAGCTATTATTCCACTTGATGGTCGAATGTGGATATCCCAGAACGGAAGTGGTATGGTGCCAACAGAACCGCTATGGAACCTCTGCACCGTTCACATAGTACATGGTTGGACCGGACCCCAAACTCAACCGACCCGCGTGTTCCTGCCCATGCCATCTAAACCTTTCGCCCCCTAGGTGGATATCCTTCAAAACCAATCGCTTTGAGTACCACATGTTCTTCCAAATGCGCCGCGACACTGAGCAGCATATGCTTCATGCATGGCGCGTTCCCAAAAGGTCAGTTGATACGTAACGCTTTTTACTTTATACTTTCTACTTTATGCTTCTGTTACAGGTATTCCAAAACAAAGCGAGGAAAGGATTTCCATGAAAGCGGTGATGGAAATGCGACAGCTCAGTCGGAATCCCATTTAGGATGAGGTGCCGAGATTGTTAGTAGAAGGACATCTTCAGGTTGACGTGCCATTCGTCAATCTCTTCCCTGCCCCTTTCTCTTCTCCTCCTCCTTAGTCAGAATCTTTTATTCGAAAACAAATCAAGAAGGTGGAACGGGGCGTGCTTCGACGACAGACTTCTTTATAACGAAATCCCTTTTACTAACAGTCGCTTTCTTCAAGGGTAACTGCATTAACTGAGCTGAACCTCCATGGCAACATGGGCATAGGATTAGAGGCAGCAACAATAAAGCTAGATGCTGTATTGTCTTCGATATGAGAGCGATTTCCTTTATGCCACATTCTAGACCTAGACCCTTGAAGGGGCCATAGAATGTTGATGGGAGCCCAGATGGCACCCAGTACCATCGACAAACACCAGGTTCTCCCCATTATTCATAGAGAAATGACGTCGTCATACGGCATCACTGATGACACCCCTTATAGTGCTGATGGGGCCAAATCTCCAAGATCGTGTATGATGGCATTCGGCGCTGGGGGCTTCATCACGTCCAGATCTGGCCAAGCTGTGAAGATTTAATGCAATCAAATGAAGAGTGCGTGAGGGCACGCATGTAGTTAGCCAGCGTGAAGGCATTAGCCAGAATGGGAAGCCGGAGAATGGGGGCCATAATGGCTGCGCAAATAGAGATTCTAAGCGTTGGTCGGAGAAGGGCTATGAATGTTGACTGCCGATAAAAGATGCCACTTCCGGAGAAAGCCACTACGACCTGGAGGAATGTTTTTTTTTGGCCGCTAATTTTTCCGCTCCGGCAACACCAGCCCCAATACTCCCATTCCAATGATGGCCAATTTTCAACTGCCATCACGCTGAGCACATGGCTCAGGGAACTCTGGCTACATATCTTTCTCATTTAATTAAACTAATTCCATAGATTCCACCATTTTGAACTGAGTTATTTCCTTTAGCTGTCGTTCGGTGCCCTATTCCAATTACTAATCCAGTTAGCTGCACTGAACAGACTCCCACCACATAAACTGTTCCCCCCTTGGTTGCTGTTCCGGAGGACAGGGGAAATGAATGGACTTTGTTTATTGAATTCAGCCAATCCTTTGAGCCTAACCCCTTCAGCTGCCCTTCTGGCACAGCTAATTGTTTTGCTAATTTTTATCTTTTAATTATGTAATGACCGCAACACATGCGACACCATCGAACAAACTGAAAAATCGGCAATCTTCTAGTTTTTGCCTATGTTGGTATGTTGGGCAGGTGATTTATTTCTTTCAACACCCATCAGTAGCTCCAAAGAAGGACCTCTTAAGTACAGGGGTGCCTAAATTCCGGGCAGAAAAAACCGTTTAGTGCCATTAAAGGGTGATTTTTCTTGAAGCTAGTCCTCTGAAAAGTCAGTGAAAATTGTTTTGCTAATATATGTGGTGTATGGACTTCTGGAATCAAAAACGTGGAAGCTTGACTTTGGAAAATCGAGTTGACCACCGTGGTAAGATGAGAATTGAAGACTGGATTCTGTCTGAAAAGTCATCTGACCATGAGGGCAGTGTGAATGCAACAAAATCTGAGGGAATTCCATGCCCTCTTGAACAGCATCTTCATGAAGAAGCAGGTTAAGTATTGTTCGGTAGGAATAAGCTCTTCTCAACAGTGATGACCAAATTGGCATTATCTGGGCACTTCCTCTGCTCAAGCAAAGGTTTGATTAATAAAAATTTATATAAATAAAAACTCGAACGCTTTTCCAATCTCTTGGGGAAGAGGACTCGAAAACTCAAAGATACCAGTACAGGGGTAAAGGAAGGAGTTCAGGGATAAGTAGTGCAACTGAAGATCGTTCGAGATTCAGAAATCCGAATAAAATTAGATGCGAGAGAACAGTGTACAAGACTGTTGTCAAAAAATGCTCATCCTACGAGCCAGCGTAGACCCTGACCGCGGTCCCTATGCTAGAGTCCATCTTTTTGAGCTCGGCGTCGCCCCCGAGATCGCGAATCCACTGAGCGAGCGCAAAATCCTCACACCCTCTGCCCCTTGGATGATTGGCCAGTTTGACGATTGAATTATCAGATTATAATATGTGATGGAGGAAATGATGAGGGCTTCATGCCCTCTGGGTGCGCTGATGTGTCAACAAGACATGTAAACACTCAGTTGTTCTGAGATGTCAAGAATGATGATCCTCATCAATCATGGATAACCTCAAAACCTCCTTCCCAGTCGAAACATAGTAATATTACTAAAGTCCAAGATGGTGCCATCAAATCAACTACATGAAGACGTTTCATTTTGCCTGGCCAGCCGACGTCCGACCAGCACAGCGACCTCAATTTCGGAGGTGGAAGCAAAATGTCGAACGAAGCGACAGCATTTAGCGCCGCTGCGCCTGTGAAGCCATCCACATCCATCCTTGGCCAAAAAGCAATCGGCCAGATTGTTTTTCGTGAGAGCGATAACATTCAAGAGATTCACTGAGCGCTGGCCGTTGCAACCACGAACTACAATTCCCATCTGTGGAAGTGCCAGAAAATAAATAAAATTCAGCCAATTTCCACTTAGATATTGGTTGGTCCTAGGGGCTTTACAAAATCGTCCGATGGACATATCGATTCCATATTAGAGAAAGGCAAAGGCGATGCAAAGAACAGCCATAATTTTCTGGAAAAGTGAACTTCCATCATCGGACTGACTGCACTGGAGAAATGTGGTTTCCTCAAACAAAGCCCAAAGTGCATGAAGTGCTTCAGTGGCTAGAACTATGCAGATGTACCGTGGAAAACGATATGAACGGAACGACTCTCTGTGGACGAGTTTTACCAATATGGCAACTTCTTTGGGAACTGCGAAGTTGCATGAATCCGTCAACAGTTGAAGAAGATTACTTTGGTTTTATAGGTTGATTTTCACGCGTCTCCTTCGGAGCTCGGATTTCCGGCAGTGATAACCAAAAGAGTGTCAGAAATAGGCCGAAGTCTGGCCGGGGGTTCGAGTCCTGGCTGCTGCCTTTCTTCGATTTCCAGCTGAAGGAAACAGCGGCTTGTAATTCAACACCCACCAAACCATAACATCGCTTACAACACATCCGCCACCCTCTATAATATTCCACTGGGTCCGGAATTTTGATTTTAATTTTGTTTTTGAAAGTTCACATTCCACCATTCCTACGACGTACTAGTACATGGAATATGAAAAAAAAGAAATCTCAGGTTTTTCTAGCGCTTTCATGATCGAATGTCAGAAATTTTATAGCAGGGTCTGTGGGTGATGCAAACTGGTTTCCAACCAGTAAAACTTCTCATGCTGGCCGCTTAGGAGGTAAGGCTCACTTTGAAATAACGCCAATCTGTCGTCGCCTATTAATGTCCGGTCGAGATTCTCATCTGTTTGGAGACAAGACTCATACGACGTATGAATTAATCCAGTTTTGTCTCGGAGACAGGGAAAGGAGACACTAGTTTTCTTGGAAGATAAATTTTGAGCAGCTCTGGAAGCCGACCATTCGATACTAATCGACAAGTCAGTAGATGAGGTGTGAAGACCGCTAGATCGATTCTAAGCCGTTCAGGAAGTATCTTGCAAAGATCCCAATGGAGGTATGCGAGCTAATATGACTCGAGTCTGGGCAGGTGTTTCTACAAAGCCGTTGATTTTCTCTGACAGAACAAAAACTATCCGTCACTATGAACAACATGCAATCCCCATGCAAAACATAGGCCACACGACAATTATCCTTGTACCGCTGAGAAATGCCCTTTTATTAAGAATCGAATTTGTCGTGTTCGAGTTTTGGGCGAATTCGGTGAGCCGGCTGCGTCCGTGCGCCATCCCAAAGCAATGAGCTTCATATTAAAGTGGCTGTCCCAGTGGATTCGCCTACACGGGACCTGTCCATAAGCGATTTTGCCCATGACTGCTTTCGTAGGCCCTAGGCCCACGGGAATGTGTGAAATCGTATGATCAGAGGACATTCGAAAAAATCGAAGCGCACCCTGGAACACCAGCCCTTTTTTTGCTTGTCACTCGTCTGTGGGTGTTTCTTTTTTCGGACTGATTTTCGAAAGGCAAGCGAAATTCAGTAAAAGGCAGAATTCCGTCGATTCTTTCGAGTCTCTGTGCCTAATGGCGACGATTCCTATCTAATCTCATCCGAAGTTAAAGGCAGCTCAGCGGATTAGACTCTACGAGCCTGAATGCACCGTCGATATGTTATAGAGAATGACCTTACTACAACAATAAAGACTAGAAATGAGTGCATGAGTGCCCCTTTGAGGGAGGATAAGGAACTCACCGGCATCATCAGGTACCGCAGGATCGTGTACATTAGCGAGAATAAACGAGAAGAGCTTCGTAAACTGTGACGTCATCGCCACCGCATTGTGCACAGCAGGGGTACGGTGTACGGATACGGTATGACGGTCCCGTATGGACTGTACGTACGCCGTTGACCGCTTTGCTATCCGTTGTGCGTTTCAGCGAAAGCAAAAAGGTGTGGAGGGACAAAACGAAAGTGGGCGGAGCTGAAAAGGAGGAGGTGCATGTGGGAATGGAGGGGACCAGGGAGAGACGCAGAGGCGGCCATCGTAGGAGGCGACGAGCCGAATAAAACGAATCAGAGGGGAAACGACAACGATGAGTGAGCCTTCGACGATGGCAATCGTCGGATGAGATCAGACTGCTGCTGAGAGCCGGCTGAGAAGCGACAGAAATCAGAAGCGGAAATCATCGGCAGGGTGACGAGTTGCAACTGCGGATGAGCAGCGATTTTTTCGCCAGCGACATTTGTCTCAAGCGTTCCGATCTTGGACGCAATGTCACTCGTGAAAGCGCTGATGGCTAGTATTGGAGGAAAAAAATGTGGTCTTTGACGTGCGGCTTGGTGACAGGGCCTGGGCCCTGAGGTTAATATGAATGTGGACGTGGAGACTTTCTGAGTTGACCTTCAGGAGAACCAGACCACCCTGCTAAAGGAAGTGAGTGATGTAGAACCAGGTCTTTTATATGCTCGCTGGAAGTGCTCCTTTCTTCTCAATTGCGGAAATATTCAACTGAGCTCAAAGGAGTAACCAGGGTGTGGACGTTGTACGGGCCTGGCCTAACCTTTTGTGCTTATTTGATAATCACATCTTTCATTTTGCGTATTGACTAATCAAATCTTTTATAAAACTAAAATTAGACTTCTGATAACTTTTTTCTCCTGATTCAATAAGGAAATGGTAGCCACGACGTCAACGATTGGCTCAGGGTGAGCTCAGATTCCCCGGTATGTCTCCTCTCAAAGTTTCAGGGAGATGACTACGGACATATTGAGGGGTGCATGGGAAGTACCCGAATTTTGTAACTTTGAAATTCATGACACGTAAGAAAAATACTAGAAGTGAAGTAGCTAGGGTGCAACCTGATGTTTGCTACCCTCGAACTCTCTATGACTTCCTGGGACCTGACGAAGATAGGAAACGTGTCGGATGTTTTTGATGAATCTCACCCTCGAGAGTCGAAGGTGGACCAGGGATCTAGGCCCACTAGGAGTCTATGAACTAGTATTCGAAAAGAGATAACATCGAACACATCGCTCTAGTAGAGTGATGGCTTTTAAGGGTGTTGCCTATTATAAGCAGACACAGAGCGAAAGGAACCCTACGGTTCAGGTCCCCATACTTACGTGAGTCACCTTGAAGGTGGATAAAGATCATCTCTCCGTCCAGAAACTAGTTTCCACCAAGAATTTCACAGAAGACTAGTCAAATGAAACTGAACAATGGGAGCGTTCTTATGGCTGGCGTAGTTTCATGCTTATGAGGAGATTTTTAGAGCTTGATTCTATCTCGAGGAGGCGTTCAGACAGCCTCAGACTAAGGCCATTGTTTCATCCTGCTAGTTAGCCACACAATCTTCTATTTCTGAGAGAATATGCGAGGAAAAGATAAAGACCAGAAGCTCTCTGAACATCTGCGTCCTCCAGAAGTAAAGATGTATCAAGATTAAGGAATTTTCCAAAGGTCGTAAATCCTCCAATCAGCAATCTGACAGGAGATCTCCCTCGATGAGCCTTTTCCCCAGAGATCTCGTATAAACAGATAGAATAGATTAAAGTTTCAGAAAAATCCAGCGAATCACCCATTGAACATTCCCTTCTTTTATCTATTTCTGAATGTTTTCACGTGACGTTTTGTTTGTAGTAATCAAGGATGTATGAACGGGAAACTCGTCCGCCAGCGGTATCCCCGGAAATGTCGTTCAGCCCATCGAATCCATTCATATATGAATTATTCTGAGTGGTTTTCAAGAGGAAAGGCTATTAGCTGAGTAGGTCAGTTAGGCCGACAAACGGAGAAGCCGTACAGCGACGGCTCTGGCATCCATAGAACCGCCATATATCATTAATTGGATTTGAACAAATATCATTAGGGATATTGCTGCCATAATCGGCTGTCAAGTAGCTGTGTTAGAGACGGCTTCAATCATCGTTCGATTGACCGCATGCCTCAGATGAGTACCCTTGAAGAGCTAGTCAAATGCAAAATCGCAGTTCCGAGATGCGCCATGCACTTCACTCACGTTATGTTATTTTAGTGCACTCATGCTCGTTGCAGTTGCCCAAGATGATTATCCTTGAAAATACCCTGCTATGAAAGGCAACCTGACTTCACTGGTCAACGAGGGAACCCGGCCCATGCGTTAGGGTTACATAGCATATACCTGGGGAGACCCGTGCTCCTGAACTACTTTTGTGGCCCATAGGAATACTCTAGGCGCCTCTATTTCTCGCAGGAAACAAGAGAGTTTTGGAAAATAATGAACTCGGTGGCCGTGTCGTTGGATATTTGCGTGCTGTCCATCATTTTCTGCCAACAACCCTGTCCTGCTGCCCTTCCGTACCGATCATGGGCTCCATCGCTATAGAACCACCCTCCCCAATAGAACCGGAAATTATAGCCTACTGATTATAGAGGGGCGTATGATTTAGGTTGAGAATTCCCCCTTAATAGCCATACACGAGCTTTTCTCACTCGAATGGGATCCCTTCCAGCCAGGAATGTGCCGTCTACAAATCAATCTGTCCATTTGAGTAATGGCGATCAGGCCCTCGGACACATCTAAGCACTTTTTTCTTTCCCTTCCCGTGTCATTTCTGTACTCAACATTACTTCTTGATGCTATATTTACTGAGGCTGTACTCTTAATCTGTTAATCTTCTTATAGCCAGCCATCCATGAACAAGCCCATCAGCCGTGAAGTATTGACAGTGTACATACATGGATGAAATGAACTGAAGCTCATGTGATGAAGACCATATGAGGGGCCTTTACCTCGAGAAACTGCCCTCAGATTTATTTAGCTAGGAAAGGCTAGATCGTGTGGTGGGGATCTGCCCAGTAATAGAGAAATCGTGTTTTGAATTGAAAATCAAAGAATCTGAAGCTGACCAAGGGACCGATGTAGACCGGTAGTACTTGATGTGAATTTACCGGGTCCTACCGATAAAGTGTAACTTTATAGGAGGGTGGAGTGAA